TCTCTCTCTCTCTCTCTCTCTCTCTCTCTCTCTCTCTCTCTCTCTCTCTCTCTCTCTCTCTCTCTCTCTCTCCTTCATTGAACAAGTTCTCTTCCTCTAATAACTGTCGCGAGTGATCGAGATGCTTTCGTAATCTTTTCTTATGTAGCTTATGCCTCACACTCATGACCTATATGAATCACATGCGCTTTTTATAACCAGTCATCGTTCATACTCTGATACGAGAACTTCGAACTGACGTGAACTAGTTCGAGGTTCAAGAAAATTATTTGTCACAATATAGAAAACACATTACGCAATTAGCTTCGTTTCCATCATGCCCTCAGGGAGATAATGACTTGGCGTTGTCAGGAGAAAAAAATCTCAGATACATGTGCGCATATTTCTTCGACGAATTCGCGCGAACACTCTCGTTCGTTTTCATTGCCGAATGTAAAAGATATGAAAGAAAAAAGTTCCGTCTATTACCAGAACGATTACGAAGATGACGGTCGAGCAATGCGCAACGTCGGCACGGAGAAAGGGTTGCGATGACGGTAGCGAGGGGTAAGAACGACAAAGGAAGCGCTGCCGACTCTCGCTTCAAAAAAAAGCCTCATAAAGGGATAAACGTCACACGGGACTCGTGTTTAATGGCGCGTAAACTACGAGGTGCCCCCGTCTGCAGGTATACAGGCTGCATACATACACACAAAAGGCTAACAGAATCAAAAGGATCACGTACGACTCTTCTGGTCTCTTCGTCGTCATCGTCGTCGTCTTCGTCGTCGTCATCGTCATCGACTATGTCGTACCCGTAAGATGATATTTAGAGCAGGTACGGCAAGTCGATCGACTTCATTAACGCACCGATGTCAGGCAAATATTGACTCTATCTACAGAAACTGGGGTACGAGGTATCGCGTGTTTACACTTTTGGTTCCCTCATGGCCCCCTTTTCTTCTTTACTCTTTCCTCGTTTCACCTGTTTCGCATGTACTATGATATATCGAAGTCAACGACACTGGTAATCAAATTCAGAGAAGCCAAGCATATTTATTTTTATTTTTTTCTTTTGCTACCATCAACGATTATCAATCAAAATGCAATTCTTAATTCTTGCGCGAAGCGGACTCGCAGAAATCAAACGGATATCTCGAAGTCGATGCAACGCCGCGTACAGAGAGATCGATCCAATCGCAATGATATGAATCAACCTTGGCCTACATTGAATTCCGTGGACTACCATCGATAGGCCGCCCTTACAGGGTGATCTTTTGTAAAATCAGTAGGGTCAGCCGCGGTAAATGGTACGATTTACCGATTACGGCAGACGCGACGCGCCGTAAGTTCGCCGCGAAGGCCTGACTTGTGCGCTCGTTGTGATTTATTGCAAATCACGGCGCATACGCCGCTCCTCGAAGGCGTTCTGTGTTCCCCTTGGTTATTAGGGCGATGGGATTTTTTTTACGCCGCGCTTATGCGATTGCTCCACCTCCGACGCTCGCATCTCGGCCTTTACCTCGACGCTCGCGTCTCGACCTTTCGCGCTTTATTGTTTTCTTCATATTTGCGCGATCCCGCGCCGTTTCTATTCGTTCGAGAACACGGCGCGATCCGGTGGTTCCGTTATAACGTGTACTTTGCTCTATTTGGTTTTGTATTAGGACTCGTTGTTTGAACTCTTAAAACCACTTAGAACGACCGAGTTTCGCGAATCCGTACGCGTTAGAATTATCAGGAAATGATCGACCAAGATCCCCGTATTGACGCCGTTTCAAACATGAATATTTTAAAAATGCATTGATACAAATGCATTAACGTACAAAAATGCGTATGTTAATGGTGGAAAAATTACAGAAAATAGATAAACAAACTTTACGTAAAAGAAAGAATGAAAAAAATGTGCATATAAACATGCAGAAGGACATTGTTATTTAAATCTTATAATTAAAGAAAATAACA